CTGGATGTGGGACAGCATAGTCATTTCAATATTCAAGTATGGCATCGTACATGAGTCAGTAATGACTGTAGAAATAATAATATGACTTTGCTCTGGTTCGGAAGGGTGTGGTCTGGGTGTGGGACAACAACCACTTCAATATTCAAGTATGGCGTCGTATGTGAATCAGCAATGACTGTAGAAATAATAATATGACATTGTTCGGAAGGGTGTGGTCTGGATGTGGGACAGCATAGTCATTTCAATATTCAAGTATGGCGTCGTACATGAGTCAGTAATGATTGTAGAAATAATAATATGACTTTGTTCTGGTTCGCAAGGGTGTGGTCTGGATGTGGGACTACATAGTCATTTGAATTTTCAAGTACGGGAGTGCAGATTTAAGCTGCCCCTTTTTTCAATCAAAATGAATATAGTCACTTTTCTTATAAATCACGAGTTTTGCTAGAAAAGGAGGCGTTATGCTGCCCGATTTAATCGCTATGCGTCACTTTTTTTGTACCATTTTAATACATGTAATTTCATAATTCACTGCAAAAGTGTGCCAAATTTTTTTCGTACCACTTTAGAAATGTTTAAAAAAGTCAGTAAGAAACTTTATTTCCATTTCTCGTAACACGTGATAAAAAACGACTATGCAACGATGAGAATAGAGTTTTAACATATTCAGAAAGATGCGAGTTCATGTGGTCTACAGCTTCAAACTTTCTTTCCTCCAGTTCTTGTTTGTTTTTCGGTTGCTGACCATCATAAACCCTTGAATTCAACATGCTACACACGTTTTCTGTAATGTTGAGGTCCGGGCTCATGCTGTGCCAAAGTAGAAGCTCAATTCTCGTCTCCTCAAAATAGTCCAAACTTTTTTTGAAACATGAGTACTGCAATTGTCTTGTTGCAGAACGAAACCATCGGGGAGAATGTCTCTCATTAAAGTGATGGCAGTGTCTTTCATAAGATTGATGTAGGTGTCTGAATTAATTCGACCAGATACCGTTTTGACAAAAATGTGACCGGTAGAAAAAATCATACCCCAGACCATTAGGGAACCACCCCCACATTTACGTTTATTGAGGTAAACTTGATGATTTTCCTCCTCCTTTTTTTCATCCGTAAAGACGACTTCATCTCAGTTTTTTGGGTTATTCAGCCATTCAGTGCGGAGGCGTACTCGGTTTTCTTTCTGTTTTTTTGGTCAAAACTATAGTGAATT